CACTTGTGTCTAGAGAACCAGAGATTGATGTATTCCTAACCATCCAAGGAAGAAAGAACCTCTTATTTATCTTATTCCTTGCGGTAAACTTCCATTTGTTATCCTAAAATGGGGGTAATAACACTGTTTAGCTAAACCGAATCTACGCCTTGCCACCAGGGCTGACGGTTTTCAGATCTGTCCCAAGGTAAAATCAAGCAACGCCTTCCTGTCGTGGACATGGGTCAAGTACGCATCCAATTCGTGATCATCGTCGATTGAGAATGGAATCTCATTCCCTTCCTCATCCCTGTCAATGCCCTCGATTCGGGTGATGATTGAATAGGGATACCTGGCACCGATCAATTGCCGGAGCTCTTCCACTGTTCGAGTGGCTAGCTTTTCGAGCCAGGGTTTTTGGGTTGTTTCTTGCGACTGGTCCTTCGAACCAACCTGGAACCAGACGGGGGTATGTAGTAGTGCAGAGCTTAGCATAGGATCCACATACTCAAAGCCATTGCCTGCGTCGTGGTGTGGATTGGTCGTGAAGGATGGGTCGTTCGCAGCCTGGAGTAGTGAGGGGTCAATTTGCATATCGCCAATCTCAGTAGCCGTAATGGGTGCACTGGCCAGCGCCTGAGAGGCTAAAGTACTAATCCCATTGCTGATCTCGTTTCCTAGCATGCTGCTCATAGATGAGGTTGTTGGAGTTGGGTTTCGAGATTCGGTACGTGCCGAGGATCTCTTACGTGCCGGATCTCGCTTTGTCTGGTCGTCTCGAAGTCTCTTCATTACATCACGACAGAGTACTTCCAGGGCCTTTAGTCTGTTGCCGTGATCTGGGTCGGCTGGCCCAGGTGCGAGGATTTGCTGAAGCAGCTCTGAATTCGCAATCCATTGCTCTTTCAGCTCTCTCCAGTGTTCATCGCCGGCTTCTAACTTGCTTGTGAAATGATCCACCTTCAAGGTGTCATAGAACGCATTTCGGATCTGTCGACTTTCTTCCGGGTTGATCCCCAGGGCGTTCTTCGCCTCTGCGATTGTCATGCGTCTTTCCAGAGTCCGCATTCGTTTGGTGACATCGGTGCACACAACATCGAGGGCAAGGGCCTTTGCATCGCGCTGAGTAGGATCTGTATTAAACACCTGTTGGAGGTGTGGGGATTCTTGGATCAATTTGTCTTTCGCAGCTTGCCATCTCTCAGGACCAGCTGCGGTTTTCTTGATGAAGCCTGCTTCTTCGCAGATTCGCTGGAAATGGTCTCTAGTCTGGCGGTACATAGTGTTGTCTAGGCTGAGATACTGCTTGCTCTCATCGATAGTTGTCTCCGACGGAAAGCGTGGAGGCCCGGGAGGGTCAGCCGGCAGCCCGGCCCATCCTCGAGTTCGACGACGACGTTTTCGCGAAGCCCAACGTTCTGCACTTTCGGTCTTTAGGCGGTCCAATCGCTCTTGGCGTTTTGCGATGACCTCTGGGGAAAGAGCGGGGGACGCGGTGGCTGGACGTTCAGCATCTGGTTGTGTAGGAAGAGGATGCGGATCATCGAGTGCGCTTTCGACCTTGTAGACCTCCTGTTGCAGGGCAAGCAGGCCCTCATCCTCCGGCGGGACAGCTTGTTCCTCGACATTTGACTGTGACTTCATTCCGTTGGGGACTCGCAGCAGCCAGCGATTCTTTGCACGCACTCGCATTAATTCCCTCTCTTTAATCTCGAAGCCTTCATCGTTCAATATACGAAGCATATCCCGCTGGCTTGTGTTTCGTTCCCAAAGCTGTTTGACTCGGGCGACGAGCTCGATATTCTTGTGCGCTGGATTCTGTTTTGACGGAAAGCCCCATCGTTTGAATTGAGTTTGAAAGGCACGTTTGCTAGAGAAGAAGCGAAAATCAATTGGTGTTCAACGGATAAAAGCAAAGATATATACACTTACCTTGGCGCAAACTGACAGGCAGTTCGCATGTAGTCCATGATCTCCTCCAACGCCTTTTTTTCCTGAATGTACATCTGGAAGCAGATTTCCCGCTTGCCAGACCAATCGTACACCATGATGAAGGAGACGCTCCCCTCCGTGGAGGCGCGTCTGTTGGAAGAAATAGATAGAGCTGGAAGATGTGGAGCTTATCAGGCGGTTGTTGTCGCTGCTGTGCGCCGTAGTCTTTGGGGGAATTTGGGGAAGACGCGGACAGCGCAGCTTGAGCACGTGACCATATATACCCCTTGACAGCATTTACAACATTAGACGTTTACATTTACAAAGAACGATTGTATAATGGTATGAATTTCATTTCATAATTTGGTCTGGTACCTTTGGGGAATCATATCCCACATTTCTCGTTTCCCATGCATAAAAAAATGCCCTCGGAGATGCTATGTCCTTTATCCCTAGGACACTCGACCTGCGATTGCCTAGAGATGGCAAACGCATGCGTTGCAAAGACAGCAATCCAGACGCCGTGTATCCTGCTCATATCGAGCCATATCCCCATAAAGGTGCAAAGGAAAAAAAAAAAAAACTCCTAGATCAAACACCAGGGGAACAAACAAATCGCTCGCTCATTGGAAGTATGAACTTGGAACAAAAAGAAAAGGGGGCTAAACAAAGGAAAAAAAAAACATAAGAAAAAAATTCGAAAGATATTAGAATCAATGAAGTTTCTTGATCTTTCGTCGCAGTTTGAACACTCGAGTTCGAAGCCAGGTCATAAAGAGAACCCATGTGCTCTTGGATTGGGATTTCCATGAGGCGGAAGGCTCCTCGCTCCCATGCACGATGGATCTTTGGGGCTTCTCGGAGATCTCCTCTCTAGACTGCACAGGAGACTCAAGATCTTCCGACATGTGTCGTTTCAAGCGACGTCGGGAGCCCCTCTCTTCGGCTTTGATTTGTTGTTTTTCGAGCCGACGGTTTTTAGCGGCCTCTTTTTCCTCAAATGCCTGACGGGCAGCCTGGACTGTGGCTGCACGGGAAATAGGATCGGTGCTAGTTCGAGTTCGGGATCGGAAAACGAAGTCGAGAGACGTTCTAGACATCGGAGATGCAGCACCATCAGTCTCCCGCGAATACCCAAAGGAAGGTCGGCTGGTCACATTGGTTTGTGAAATACCGGGGAGACGGGTGAAAGAATCATCTTGGATCTGCAATGACAGCCGGGGTAGGGCCAAGCCTGAAGAAGTACGGTTTTCTTGGATAGAAGAAGGTTCCGACTCGGGGCTTTCATCCAATTCTTCGCTATCATGGCTCAACTCCTCGTAGGACTGGCCCAATGGTGGAGTGTACGCTCGAGGCGTCTGCCGCATGGGATGCACATACTGTGATCCGGGCTTGCTCGCAGTTGAACCCGAGCCATTTGAGAACTGAGATGTTCCACTGGTAGATCGATTGTGGAGACCAGAAGGTGTCCTCTTGTAAGTCACACCTGCGAGGGTCTCGCTACGTTGCTCCCGCTCGAAGTTCATGTAAATTCCCAACCCCTCTTGGTCAGTGGAGGATCGGGACAAATCGATTGAGGTCGACGGCGCATCGTCCCGGGAGAGTTTCCGTAGAATGGGCTTGATATGGACCTTGGGTTTCATAGATTTGCTTTTGTGGGAGCGAGAGTCAAGCGCTTCGGAGGATATATTGCGTGTAGAAGCATTCATCAACTGGTGTTCCGAGTTCCACGGTTCTTCGCCGGGTGTGGTATTATGCGTGGCCATGCTTGAAGCCATGGAGCTGCGCGCTTTCAGGTTGACAGGGGAATGCGAGTTGTCGGCCACATTGGAAAAGGAGAATTGATCTTGGGAGTTGTTGGGATCTCGAGACGGAAAGATATGATAAGATGCAGCCCGTCCAGTTTCAATGCCTGGTCTCGCCTTTATAGGACGTTGGAGCGATCCAGACTCCCCCACTAGTCGGTTTTTCATAACGGGAAAGACCGACTCACGGGAGTACGAATCGTCGACGCGCGCCATAGTCGGAACCTCTTCAAGTCACGGCTTTTTAGTAACGGACTGTGTGATGCATGATTGTCAACACCAGCCGAATGAGAACCAAAGTATGGAGAGTTCAGAATTCAAGACCGAGGATGGGTGGGGAAGATTGTGAAAAGAGGAGATCGTAAGAGATCCCAAGTAATAGTAATCAAGAGGGGGCGCGCATCAGCGCATCAGCACATCAGCGGGGAAACGGAAGACTAAGATAAGCGCTTATGGCGGGAGAGATAAAGGATCTGACATTTGTGGTCAGGGTAGAACCTTGAAAGAGTAGAAGAGAGAGAGAAGACAGATAGAAAGGAGGTAAGCAAGTAATTTTGAAGAGGGGAATAGCAATAGATATAATTCAAGAAGAAAAAGGGGACGGCGGTGAAGCCGGAGACAGACGGGATCGAGACCGCATGCGGCTTTGTCTTCTCTCTCTCTCTCTCTCTCTCTCCTATTTCCCCCTATATTATCCCCTTTCCTCCTATTATTGGATCTTCCAATCCTTCTAGTCCTTCTAGTTCTTCTAGTTCTGTCTAGTTTGATTAGTTTATTTCGATTAGTTTAAATGAGTTCGTTTAGTTTGATTAGTTTGTGTGGTTCGTCTGATTTCATCTTATTTTAATTTATTCCCCCTATACTCCGTCATCCTATACCCCCATCTACACGATATCCAAGATCATCCAAGGTTATACATAAAAAAAAGTCCTCCCGTTCATGATTTTTATTACCTTCATATATATCTAAGCAGACATTAAAAGACATATGAAAAGAACATATAAAAATTACATTCAAAAACACAGAGGGTTTTTAGATCTAACATCTCTAATACCATGATAACTAGTACGGAGTACATAGTACCCTATAATACAATAACTCTCCTGAAATATGTTGTACGTATCCGTTGCGTATTCATACGTATGTATTGGTCTATATATATCCACACGTATCCATACATACCCATACGTATCTATACGGACCGATGCCAAGGATATGCCAAGACCTAGGTACAAGCCAAGCCCGTCTGACGATTCCCCCCACCAAAAGAATGTTTTGACACTGTGTTGTACATGGTGGGGTGGACTATTTTGGTCTTTTCTTCTTTCTCTTTCTCTTTCTCTTTCTTGTCTTCTTGTCCTCTTTTCTTTTTCTTCCCTTCTTTCTTGCACATACAATATCATCCCCGATCATTGTACTACTTCTCAACCATGGGTCTGTCTCTGCAGAGCCTGGGGTTGTCCCTGTTGATTCTGGTTGCTTTCTCCGGTCAGGCATATGCATTTGGCGCTGGTAATATCGCTTCTCTTTCCCGCCTCGAAGGTCAAAACTGGCGTCATGGAGACATCGAGGATGCCCTTCTGGCTCTCTATATGGCAAGAGTCGCCGGTGGTAAGAAATTCGGCAAGCTGGACGTGAAGCGCGTCTACTTCGGTAATTGGTTACGTGATTACAGCCAAGCAGTCGATGTGGGCACCGTCAAGTATGTTAGTGCCGAAGCTATCCGTATCCTGCTCTGGGTGCTAGGCTTCATGAGCTTTGGGTGAGTAGTAAATGTGGAGATCGAATATCGAGGCTGTTGGACATTGCGCTGAGACCTATAAAAGATACGGAACCAAGGAGTTTGAGGTCACGACGGAACGCCTGGGATGTTACCAACCCACGGAACATATCGATAACCCCTTGGGATACGCCACGGGCGAGGATGCGCGTGACTACGATCGTCGACTGCGTGGCCCCGTCGACGAAGAGCGAGAGCTTTCGGTAGACCCCCGCACCGGTATGGAGTCTGATCCTGCGGTGGTCGATATTGGACTAACCCAACTGGAAACACAGGCTTGAAACATTACATCGCAACGGAGGACGTAGGTATCGACACCTCGGCTGCGTTGATTCGCCGTGTACTCGGTCGCTCAATTCAGATGGGTCGTCGTTATGGCCAATCCAGGAACAAGGACGACCTATATGAAGCTCTACGATTGTTGGGCACTGGATTGCACTGCCTGGAAGATTACGCTGCCCACTCTAACTACACTGAGCTCAGTCTGATTGAACTGGGAGAGACAGAGGTCTTCCCTCACGTCGGACGAGACACCAAACTGCAGGTGAACGGTGTCGATAACGAAGTCTATCCAATCGTGACTGGTACCTTTGGTGGAGTTGATTTCTTCCATTCCGTACTGGGAGAGTTGTCCGATAAAACAATGCAGTCTGAAATTGAATCCTTGGAGAATGTTGTCGCCCAATCGGAGAACCAGGATTCCTCCGAGAGTTTCTTGCAGACTCTCCTAAGCAAGATTCCCGATGGTCTGCTTGGTGACAGCAGCGACCAGACTGGCCAGATGGATGACTTCAAGTCAAAGGCAGATGATGCCAAGCATGACAGCGAAAACGTCAATCCGCGTGAACCTGAAGAGTGGACACTCTACCTGGACAATGTTCAGAAGCAGATCTACCCGGTCCTCGAGTGGCATGACAACCTGTTGAAACGAATCAATGAGGCCATCGAAAAGATCCCAGTCTTGCCCGAGCTGATCGAGCAAATTCAGGATCAAATCACCATTTTTGTCTTCTCTATTTTGGCTCCTTATGTTCTTCCCATTATCAAGCAGGTTAAGTCCGAGCTCGAAACTGGTTCATCCGAAGTGATTCAGAGCAGCCGGGAGCAACAACACATTGTGTTCAACGATGATGACTGCTCAAACCCTACCCACTCAATGCTCTCAAAAGACCACTTCTCAAACATTTTGAATGAGCCCGCTGGTCGTATTGCGTCAGCTGTTGTCAAATGGTCAGTTCCTCAGCTTATGTCATGCTGGGACGATGAGAATGCCGATATCGACCGGACTCTCGACAGAATCATTTCGGGTGTTTTCCATCACCCCGCTCTTCGTGAGTCTGGACGTGACGGAGCTGCCGATATGCGTCAAATCATGTTCTCCACGGTCGAGAAGTGGTGGAGCGAGAAGGATGACGAGGAACGGGATATCCTCCGCGAGCAGCTGAGCCGCGATGGTGTCCTTGAAGGCAGGAACCATAAGGATGGCGTGCAAGATTGCGGGCACGGTTGTGGCAAGCCGCTCGCTCTTCCCAAGCCTCACGGCAGCTCTGGTGAAGGCCAAGGGTCCGGTGGCTCCGGTGGCTCTGGTATTGAGAACCTAGCCTCGGAGGCCGTAGGAGGAGGCGCATTCGGCGGTATACTCGGTGGACTCGTAGGAGGGATGGGCTCTATGCTTCTCAACAACAGCGGTTCGAAGCCTGATAGGGAGAGCCCAGAGCCTCAGAACTATGACAGTGGGAATTCTTACCAGAGTCGACCCCAACATGAGAGCCACGAACAATATGGAGGGAACTCGTTTGGTCAAATGCAGCCCCCTCACCAGAGTGGATATGGACAACCAAGCGAGCCAGGCTACGGAGGCTACGGTCAGCCCCCGGTTCATCGCGAAGAATACCGTCCTCGTCCCGACGGATACGAATATCAGAGCGAAACTGTCTATCAACAGCCACCTGCGCGCCGCGATGAGTACTCTAGCTACGCACCTCCAGCGGAGAACTTCCGCCGCGAGGAGCACTACCAATACCAGTCGGAAAGCCAGGGATACTATCAGGAGCAGACACGGGAGACCTACCAAAGTGGCCACTCCGAATATCAGCGTACAGAGACACACTATGGACACGGAGGCCCGCCTCCCCGTGAGGAATATGGGCAGTAAGTTAACTTGATTATTTGTTATTGGCTGGTCTCTTATATTGACCGCAATATACAGGGAGTTCTCTGGATATGGTAGACCGCAGCCTGGCTACAATGATTTTGAGAATTCTGGCTATAGGCCCCAGGAAGGATATGGTCAGCGAGAGGGCGGCGATGGATACCGCGCCGAGCGACAATATGAGCGACAATATGAGGGCGAGGAGCGCCCCAGGTACCGTTCGGGCTCTCGCAGTGGGGGTAGCGATGAGGAACGTTCTCACCGACACCACCGACACCACCATCATCACCATGAACGGTCTGGTTCAGATTCGGATTAGGTAGTCTCGACAGTAGACCCCCAGGATACAGTGTTGGGCTAGTGGAAGATCCTGTCGCAATGGATGAATATACAGACATCTACCATTCCTTGACCTCTCCGGGAGCCGGTTGTTCAGTGCGAATAACCTTGTCACAGTTGAGCAGGCGGAGTGGATCAAGAGCCAATTTCAGCTAGGAATGCAAATATGAGTATTAGTGGTATGCTTCATGGGCGTAGACAAAGGGTATATTTAGATTTGGGGCAGGAGGGGAAAGGGGAAACGAATGAGAATGTATGTGACAGCTTACCCGGCGCATTGTGTTGATTGTAGTTTCACCCAACTCGTGCTCGAGGTAATCTCGCTTGACGAGACCAACACCGTGCTCCCCGGTGACAGTGCCCTCCATCTCCACAGCGCGTTTCACCATGCGGTGCACGACTCCCTCCGCTATAGCCTTCTCACTGTCGCTGAAGAGGATGATCGCTATCAGCTGTTAGCGTATGTCGAATGTCGAACGACCTCTGGGTTATGTCAAATCAAGGCAATAATAGCTTACCGTGGAAGTTGCCATCTCCAACATGGCCACAGATTCCGGCTAACAGGCCATTCTTGGTCATATCTTCCTTGGTTGCCTCCATGATATCGGGCAACCTGCTCATCGGGACTGCAACATCGGTCGTCCAGACGTGGTCATCCGGATTCTTTTTCATCGCCATGACACTCCACAGCGCCTGTTTGCGAGCACTCCAGAGTTCTTCCATTTCAGACTTGCCACGGGCAAACTCGAAGGTATTTCCCGAAGTTTTAGACACGATCTTTTGCACCATCCCAATCTGCTCCTTGACCGCATTTGGGGTACCAGTGAACTTGAAGAATAGGGTGGGGGACTCCTTCCACTGACGGCTGGTAGTCTTGCTGGCATTGATGCACCTCATCTGGATATCATCCAAAATCTCAACACCAGCGACAGGGATACCGGCCTCCACCACGTTGGTTACACACTCGGCAGCATTCTGAATAGTGCCAAAGCTTGCGACAGCAACATTCTCGCTCTGGGGCTTGACCGTCAGCTTCAATGTCGCCTCCGTTACCAGACCAAGAGTGCCTTCGCTGCCAATAAACAGCTTAGTCAAGTCATAACCAGCGCTAGACTTCCTCGGCCGCTGCCGAGTCTTGATAATGGTGCCATCGGCGAGGACAACAGTGAGCGACAACACCCACTCACGCATCGTCCCGTATCGGTAGGCATTAGTTCCCGAGCATCCTGTTCCGACCATACCACCAATCATCGCACCCGGACCAGGATCTGGTGGGAAGAAAAGGCCATCTTTGGCAATCTCCTCGTTCAACTCTTCCCATCCAACAGCAGGCTGGACAACAACATCCAAGTCACGCTTGTGGAGCTCCAAGATGCGGTCCATGCGACGGAAATCCACGCACACGCCACCTCTCGTAGATGCAAAATGTCCCTCCAAGCTCGTGCCGCCGGAGTAAGGGGTGACGGGAATAACGCGCTGGTGACAGACCTTCATGATGCGCGAGACCTCCTCGGTACTTGACGGGTAGAGGATCAAGAAGGGCTTCTCATCCTCTTTCTGCGAATAGGAGGACCAATCGGATCCGGCATGCGATTCCAGGTCTCCACTTGCAGTCGAGACATTTTCCTTGCCCAAAATTTCGACGAAATCAGCCCACGCTGCTTGGAGGTTGGAAGGAGAGACGTTGTGTTTTGGAGCCTCGATCTCAGAGAGGGGGTCGTAGACGAGGAGGGTAAAGCTGCGGGTTTGATAGATCCGAGGTAATAGGCACCAGTTGAGAAGAAAACCAAAGCTACAGCGCGATTACAGATTTAGTTAGCCAATGACCTATCCAGAGGGGGGGAAAGCAGGATTATCTCGGCATCGCATACCGAAGACCAGGGCGGCAGAGCGACCTGCGGGGGACTGGGTCTGATATTGGGCGAATTTCTCTTGTTCGGCACGCTCGCGCTTCAGACGTTGTTGGGTGCTTTCGTATAGTTGACTCTTGAATGATTGGTTTTCCTTGGCTTGCTTAGCCGAGGATGCAAAATGACGCAGGAGGCGGGGGGGTGGTCGAGTCCGGAGACTCCGCGCCCCTAGAATGAGAGCATTGAAGACCATTGCGATGTGTAGAAGAAGTGAACCTCTCGAGGCTTTCCAAGCTGTCAGGAAGCTCTCGGAGAGACTGAGAGGTGAGAGGTGGAGGACGGACCGAGTTCCGGGGTCTTGGCATCCGGGCCGATACTTTTTTTTTTTTCCAGCTTTGAAGGGATCTATAGAGACACTACATAATAGTATATAAGTATATAAGTGTATATAAGTGTATAATAGTGTATAAGTGTATATAAGTATATATAATAGAGATAGCGTATAATAGGATATAATAGTATCCTATCTAACTATATCCGAGTACAGTAAAATTAACGGATACGTCACTTGACCAAAATGGTCACATGTCCCCTCTATTATTACCATTTGTGACTTCACACAGGAAGGAGAATCCCGCGAGGAAAAGAGTCCGGTTAATATCATCGCGGCTAAAAAAGATAGAAAAAGGCTCCACATCCAATGTGGAACTTGTCTCTGCGGGGAGCTCTTCGGTTCAATTCAAACTGGATTCTCCCGGTTATTCTTTTTCCTTTTCCAGAGTTTCTCTTATATATATATATATCTCTCTCTCTCTCTATTCAAAGATTCCACTAGTCTCGCTCAATATATTATCTCCTTCTCTACTATTCTCTCCATCCCCCCTCCCCCGCATTGTTGCCAATTTCCCCGGAATTCCCATTGCCCCTCCAAACACATAATGGCCGCAGCTCAGGTAGGACTCGACTCACAGTTGAAAATAATACAAGTCTAACAGATACCCAGAACCTTTCATTCGTCCTTCAGGGCATCCATAAGGTCAAGTTTGAAGACCGCCCAGTTCCCGAGCTGAAGAACCCTCACGATGTGATTATCAATGTCAAGTACACCGGTATCTGCGGCAGTGATGTATGTACCATGCTCCAGAAACAGTTATGACCCAGATTAACTAATCTCCGCCATAGGTGCACTACTGGGAACACGGCTCGATCGGTTCATTCGTTGTGAAAGACCCCATGGTCCTCGGACACGAGTCAGCAGGCATCATCAGCCAAGTCGGATCAGCCGTCAAGACCCTAAAGGTGGGTGACCGGGTCGCTATGGAGCCTGGCACCTGCTGCCGCCGATGCGAGCCCTGCAAGGCCGGAAAGTACAACCTGTGCGAGGACATGCGCTTCGCCGCGACCCCGCCCTATGACGGCACCCTGGCCAAGTACTATACTCTCCCCGAGGACTTCTGCTACAAGCTCCCCGATCACATCTCCCTGCAGGAGGGAGCACTCATGGAGCCCCTCAGTGTTGCAGTGCACATCGTGCGCCAAGCCAACGTCAGCCCAGGCCAGTCGGTGGTGGTATTCGGTGCTGGCCCGGTGGGCTTGCTTTGCTGCGCTGTGGCGACTGCGTTTGGCGCCTCCAAGGTCATCGCCGTGGATATCCAGCAGCAGCGTCTGGACTTTGCCAAGGACTACGCCACTACATCGACATTCATGCCAGGCAAGGTTGCGGCTACCGAGAACGCCGAGCGCCTGAGAGAAGAGAATGGGCTCGGCGCTGGCGCCGATGTGGCGATTGATGCTTCGGGCGCCGAGCCTTCTGTGCACACGGGCATCCATGTCCTGCGCAATGGAGGCACATACGTCCAGGGTGGCATGGGCCGCAGCGAGATCCAGTTCCCTATCATGGCAGCTTGCTCCAAGGAGCTGACCATCAAGGGTAGCTTCCGATATGGCAGCGGAGACTACAAGCTTGCCGTTGGGCTGGTTTCATCCGGCAAGGTTGACGTTAAGAAGTTGATTACCGGAACAGTCAAGTTCGAGCAAGCCGAGCAGGCCTTTATCGAGGTCAAGGCTGGCAAGGGCATTAAGACTCTAATTGCCGGTATTGATGTGTAAATTCCGTTATAGAATTAAAACACTGGGGATAAATGGGGGCGTTGGGTTTCTATTTCTATTTTATAGCCGATTGTGAACGAGAGATGAATCAAAAGTTGATGTGCAATAACTCCTCTTGGGGGCCTGAACTGTCGGGCAAATACAGTAACATGTAGAAATGATCAAGGTCAACGAAGGGGGGTATCGTGCAGTGTAGTAAAGCGAAAGACCAAACCAAAACAGAACAAAGAAACAAATGTACTCGGGGTAATACCATACTAACAACACCCTTGATTTGGGCGACTTCCAGAGCCCAGGCGGAAAACATCCTCCCATTCCCTCATCCCGCTCTTCCAGTTAGGTGTGCCAGGAGTTTTGCCTTTTCGACGGCTCCTGCGCTGTAGAGGCACGGAGTTATCGTCCAACGTCGCTCGACTTCTGATACTCGAAGCGTCGCTACCCCCATATAAACCTCCATCCCCGTACTGGATGCCACTCTGTGGGTCATCGGGGTCAATCTCACCGAGCTCGATCTTGGTCAAGATGATCCGCGCCAGCCGATTAAAGACTTCCTCCACGCCATCCCCCGTCAGAGCCGAGATCTCCACAGCGACGGGGATATTCGACTTTGCAGCCCAGTGGGATGTCTCCTCGGAGCTAACCTCTCTGCCTTCTGAGGCACGAGTGGCCGTCAATCTAGTCCCCGTCCCCATCAGGCTGGTGGAGCGAATCGACCCATTCACATCCCAGGGGATCGACGACTGTCTGCTAGACGTACTAGACGGGGTCGGAGGTGGGCGGGAATTATCTTCGAAATCAGACTGGGCGTCGGAGGTCAGGTCAGCTTTATTCCCAGCTAGGATGACGGACAGATTCGGGGAAGCAAGGGCGCGGGCATCCATGAGGAAGGTCGGGAGGGAGGCGAAGGAGGCGTAGGAGGCAACATCGTAGATGAGGATTGCACCTGCTGCGCCGCGATAGTATGATCTTGAAACCGATCGAAAGCGTTCTGTGCCTGCTGTATCCCAGAGCTGGAGTTTGATGCGTCTCCGGCGTGAACCCGTGCCGAGTTTCACGATACGCGAGGCAAATTCCACGCCGATGGTTTGGGAGGAGAGTACTCGCCCTGAATAAAAAGATATGTCAGTAAGAGAGAGAGAGAGAAAGAGGATTGGGGGGTGGTTGTACATTCATCTTTCACGAAGCGGTGTAGTACACAAGACCTGTAATTCAAGGATCCCAAGGATCCGACGTCAGCCGATGATCTAAGCTTGTATGTAACCATGGATACCGAGGTACCTATAGGAGGTATAGGATTAAGATAGTTAATACTCACTTTCCAGCACCGCTTGGTCCTAAAAGGATGACTTTGGCGAGGTAATCGTACATGCTCCCCAGCTCCTATGGATTGTATTAGCGGTCTCCGGGGAATTAGGGGGAGATTCATGTACCTGGTCTGGGAGCGAGGAAGTGGAAGAGGCATTTGAAAGACCTCTTTGACGTGCCATGAGCGTAGGGAAATGAATTATTGGGGTGGGTGAATATGAAAGAGAAGGGTAGCTTTGATGGGGGGAAAGTTGGGTGCCCGACCGGTGGTCTTGCACTATTACTATTACTATTGGAGTGTATCTATATATCTATATATATTATTGTATACTACTCCGTACTATATATTAACTATATGAACTATTAAATATTTCTAATAGAAATATCATGTTCGATCCTTTCATAAAAAAAAAAGTAAAAAGTAATTAACGTGCTTTGATACCTCGGTACTTCGTATTCAAACAAGGCGCATTTCTAACGTATAGACTTTTTACTCTATTACTCTATTATATTACTCTAACAAAGGAGAGTTTCTTACACTTTGGGGCTTGGAGCAAGGCTCATTCGACGTGGATTTACAGGGCGTAGATTGACGTAGTGTTTGGAGTATGGAGTATTATGAATAATAAAGTAATATCGTAAGATATAGTGATGAGGCTCAGTAGATAATACCGTAGATAATACCTAGGATATATAGGTATATCTTGAAGACTTAAGAAATCATGCCTATTAAGGCTACTCCGTATACTCTGTACTCCATATAAAGGTCATCCATATGTGGAGAAACAGGGATTGAGAGATCTACAATGTACATATGCACATACTACCTAAGTACTCCGTATGCACAATTATATCATTTCGACAGTGGCAACTTTGAAACCATGGAAGTTTGGAAGTTTTCTAGAAAAGAGAAAAGAAATGACGAGAGTGGCAGTGCTTACGGGGTATATACTCCGCTCATAATATACCTGGGTAGTTAATATGGTTGATCCCTTTCGTATTCGTTTGACTAAAAGGGGCGGAGGGTCAGGGTCCGAGGCTGAGTATTTTGGCTTTGATGAATTTTTTATTGTCATTTTAATTCCTTGGAATTGCTTAAATCTACGCATTTTGAACCCTTTCTTATGTTCTTGGAGCCCAAAATCCTTTGAGTCGGACTGAGTTCATCAGAATTTCGTCATACCGTTACTTCCTTTACTTCGGTACTTCAGTACTTCACTTCGCTTGGATTTCTCCTTTTTAACATCTTCTCCATCCTTCTATTCTACTACTCAATACTCAATACTCACCATGAAGTTCACTTGGGCGACAACGCTCCTTTTACTTTCTACCAGGGTCACGGCCCTGACCATCCCTCACACCGAGCCTACCGATCTCATTGAACGAGATGTGGTCTCCCTGGATCCCTTGGATTCCACCCGGGATACAGATGTCATAACCCTGGAAAAACGGCGGGGCGGTGGTGGAGGAAGCAGAGGCGGCAGCAGCGGTTCGTCCGGCGGTTCGTCCAGCAGTTCATCCAGCAGCGGAGGAAGCAGTGGAGGCCGCACCGGTTCTTCTTCTTCCGGTTCCTCCGGTTCCTCCGGCTCCAGTGGCTCCAGTGGCAGTAGTGGTAGCAGTGGAAGCAGTCGCAGTGGTTCAAGCAATGTTGGTGGTACAACCAGTAGCGGCTCTGGCACTCGAGCAACCTACGGTGGAGGAAACTACTATGCTGGTGGTGCGCGCACTCCCTACAAGTCTGGCTCCCGGTCCGCTGGAGGAATCGCCCCCTACGTTCTCGGTGGAGCTGCACTGGGCTTCTTCCCGGGTCTTTGGCTGTACAGCGCCTATGCCTACCCCTACAGCCACCACTACAACTACTACAATGACCAGGACCACAAAAACGAGTCGCTCCCCATTGTCTGTGTGTGCCAGGAGTACTCCGAGTGTGGCTGCGACGACAACACTAACCGCACCTACTACGAGTCCCTCTTCAACGGCACCGTGCCCAAGAACTCCAGTCTGGTGCGTGTGGTCGATGTGAACGGCACTCAGACCATCTACATCAATGGTACCTTGGCCAATGGCACCACCGCCGCCGCCGATGAAAGCTCGAGTTCGAGTAGCACCTCCTCGGCATCCGGGCCTGTTGCGAAGGTCCTGCATGCTAGCGGGTACTGGGTGACGGTTGCCGTGGTAGTGGCCGCCGTTTGGGGATTCTAAATGACAAATCATGCTTTTGCTTTCTGTTGTTTTTTGCTTTCTGACTGCTAGGTTATTATGGCTCCACCTGGCTTGTGTTGATGATGAGCCTTAATGCTATGATAAATGATTGGGATGGATGTTTGCTTGTGACTTTGATACCCCCGGCTTAGGAACTTGTGGCCTGTACAACGGTATTGTTTATATCCATAAGCGCTTTGTTTCTGATAATGTGAAGGCGATATTGAATTGGACCTGAAATTGTACAGAAGTGAAGAACAAGTAGAGACGCGTGGATATTCCTAAATTGGACTAGTTGTATCGTCCGAAAGGGTTGAAGTAATTATGAGTCTGAGAAAGACATTCAACAGAAGAGAAAGATCGGAAAGTTTCTGATCTAGAGGCCCGAAAACCACAATTCTTGACAACGTCGCCGAACATATGTTGGCTGATATACTAATGTATACTGCTATGCAGGTAGGAGTGATCTCCCAAGAATTCTTCATGCCTTGGTGCCTTGGTGCCTTAATGCCTTGGTACCTGTCCCGTTCTTGGAAACTCCCTTTCTCCCCTTTCTCTTGAACTTGCAACCTTCTCCTGTTCTAAACAGTGTCACTCTTTTGTTCTCCCAGCTATTACATTCTTTCATAAGCTGCATTCACTCTTTTGACTCGAATTACTCTCTCTTCGCAATTCGTAATTCGCAACTTGCAATTCTCAATTCTCAATTCGCAATATCATAACAACTTTGAACCAAACATCAACAATGCAGTTCACCAAGGCTCTCCTCTTCCTCTCGGCCCTCGCGCCCGTCGCGTTCGCCGCTGAATCTGCCTCAGCCGACTGTATCACCAAGACCGTCACTCTGGTGCCCTCCGGATACACTGCTCCCCCGTCGTCCACCCCGACTCCTACTCCAACCTCAACCTCGATCGAAACTTCTTCGTCGACCTGGACGCCTGTCATCACTAGCACTCCTTCCTCCAGTGCTACCCCTTCCATGAGCCACATTGCCAGCTCCTCTACCCCCCTGATCAAGGCTAGCAGCACCCCCCTCGGTGAGAGTGCCTCGGCTACTCCTTCCGCCCCTGCTACCGCCGGTGCTGCTTCAATCCACCTCCCTGGTTTCATGGCTGCTGGTGCAGCCGCCATCGCCGGTGTTCTCATGATCTAAACTCCATTTTCTGACTCATTTGAACGAGTGAATGTTTGAGTTGCCTCCCCGATCTTGGTGTCGACTTTTGTCGCATTGCATCCAATGTCAACCTTTGATACTGGACTGCTTCGGCCATCTAGAATGGCCTCCACTTGATCCTTCCCATGTTTTATTTTGGGAGATATTTTCTTCTTTACATATTCTTTCTTCCTAACATACCGTTTCTTTTTCTACCTACTTTCTGGTTACGGTGGTTTTGATGTGTTTTCCGATGTTTATTTTCTGATGTTTATACCCTTTTCTTTTCCCTTCGATACTCCCCCTTTTGATCTCATCCAAGCATTTTTTTGACCTTAATGCTACTTCCTTTCTGTCTTGGTTGACTTTGGATTCTTTCTCCACATTGATGCTTGCATCTTTGCTCTTGGATGTCATACTACTACTGTTACTTGACGAGTGTAAGACTTATGAGCTTTACTTTTTTTATGCAATTGATACATTTCATTGTGGCTACGTTTCACCTTTGCTTAATCTGTAATCTTTCAACCATGAGCGGAGCGTATGGTCTTTAGATATAATAGTCTGAATTTCTAGCTTCTCGATGATAGCTTAGCTATGGCTTCATCTACGGCATATGCTTGACAAAAGAACTGGCTGAATCAAGCGCATCGATAATCGTGAATAACTTAGGAGAGGATTGAAACTGATCTTATCTACTACAATGACCCCAAGAACGGGCACACCAAAAAAATATCGTACAGAAAGGTGAGCTGGAACTAGCCTACTCTTTGGAGAAAGCAGCTTCATATCTGTCGAGCAAGTTAGCCAACATCCCTCGACTCAGCAAACGACACAACATACCTCTTGCCTCGGAAGGCCCACAATCCCCAGTTTCCACAAGAAACATCATGAGGGTCCTGATCATTTAGATCCCAGCGCAGACTGCGGAAGATATTCTCCCCGGGCTCAAGGAGCACGTCAAATTCTCCACGGCACTTCTCACTCACCCAGTTAATATCACGCTCCAGATCCCACTGGGTATACCCAGTACAGATGATAGGAACCTTAGTCTCAAGCAACTGGGGCAGCGTCTCCTCCCACTCATGCGAGCTAGCCGGGTGACCCAGACCAGGGTGGAAGAGCATAAAGCAATCAAGGTAAGGATCGAAGGGACCGAAATACTGCGCCTTGTTCATAGTGTGGAAGTAGTCCACGTAGGTAGTGATCTTCATCTGGCCACCGAGTCTGTCCTCGACGATGCCGCCGAAGGGGTTCTCAGGTGTGCGCTCGGGAAGCGGATACTCTCCGTCTCGATTCGCCATGCTCTCCGGTCCGATGAAGATGAGGTGCAGCAGGGCGCGGGGGTACATGTACTGCAGCTGCAGCCAGACGTCGCGGGGGAGGGACGACTCTGCGCGGGCGCCGAGAATGAAGATTCGTACCGGGGGCGCCTTCAAGCGGAGACCCTTAACGTCGATGCTTTCACCGGCTTTAGGCGGGTGGAGGGAGTAACGGAGGGCTGGGGATGAATTAGTTTGCCGTGTGGAACTATTATGCTGCACAGAATCAGGACTTACCACTCAGACTCTTCAATCCCTCCGGTGTGAGTCGTCCACCGGAACGAACACTGTACGGGCTAAGCTCGTGCAGGACACTGCCGATTGTCTGGGGGTAGGTTAGCATGCGCGTAACCTGACGCATGGAGCGGTCGTCGTTGATAGCTGCGAATTCACGGGTGTAGAGGTAAGTGTCCCAGTTAGTCATGTTGATAACGAAGTTATCATCCTGAGGACCGGGGTAATGGAATTCAGGGAAGAAGCGGCCGGAGTTCAGGTCGTGGTCGTCTTCATTGATCTGGCGCAGCGTGTCACAGATCTCGAGGTGAGCCTCGAAGTCATCCATCCAGTGGCCCTCGGAGCAGTAGACAGGCACACCACAGTCAGGGCACTCGAAGTGCGAATGGGCCGGGGGCAGGTTTGCATCGTCGGTGGTTTTTCTGGCTTCGGGGTCGTGCGGCGAGACGGCCGCGCGGGTCTGCTGGTGGCTTGGGTGCGGGCAGAAGGCATTTTGCTTGATGAACTCCGCGCGTTTGCGGATTGCCGGCGAGGGCGAATTCGAGAAGGAGTGGAACAGGTTGTCTGGTTTCAGGACGGCCCGAGGGTTGACGGAGGACCCGGTTGCCGTGTGAGCTGCCCGTTGGGGGACAGGCGAAGGCGAGGACTTGGGAGCACAGCAGGACTGGCTGTGTGTGTGCTTGGGCTGCTCTGGGGCGCTACCCAGCGATCGGTTGTTCCGTTGCGAGCCAAAGCTGCGGATGAAAGACGGGGAGATGGGGCTTCTTCTCCGCGTGGTGGCGAGGCTCTGCAGGCGAGCCTGAGGGGCTGAGGCCCGAACTCCTTGACGGAGAACCTGTAGGCACTGGACACAAGTGTATCCTGCCATTGTGATGTCAATTGGTTGTGGAGGGGAACTGATCAGACCACGGGATAGCTCTGGGGATGTTTTTGCGGCGACACGTGACTGAGACCATCTATGAAACGGAGATATCTTCAACTTGGGCTTTGAATTGTCAGTTTTATTGTGTCAATTAGGTGGATTTTATTTAAAGATAATTCTATTTACTATCTGATCTTGCTCAGGTGAGCGCATATCCACAAGAAAGCTATCCAGAATTCATTCGTTTGTTTTTATGACAATTGAGAGTCTTGTACAAAGCAACCAAGCCAAAATAGCAAGCCAAGTACTTCTCAGAAGATATCCTCGGATCGACTCCAATCCTGCGCATCTCTGGACTCCCAGTATTTTCCATTATGAGCCCAGAATTCCTCCCCGGTAATAGGACACTTGTCACGGGTGAACCATTGCGGCGCGTAGACCTCGCCGTTGGTTTCGCGTTCTCTGCGCTTGGCACGCTGCTTCTCTTCCACACGGTGCTTCTCATCAGCAGCCAAATCATATTCGCCATCTTCCATAGCACGCTGGTCGGGTCGCCGCCTGGTATCGGTAGGAGGGAGCCACTCCTTCAGGGACTCGGGGAGAGCATTGAGCGTGATGACGAATGGAGTCAGGTTGAAAGGTATACCAGTAGGACGAGCATGAGCCTGCCAGACCAAAAAGGTCTTGGCAGACTCGGGATCCTGGCCGGAGACAGGCGCCTCAAAGCCGGGGGGTGTGGCGAGCGTAGATCTTATCGTTCCAGCGACCACCAATGCTCCACTTGGGGGAGCCTTCGCTGTCGACGACCTTTCCTGTCACCTGGTAGGCTGATGAGGCCTTCCAGCCACGGGGCTTGAAGTCAAGGTAGCAAACTTCGCCGGTGGTCCAGTTCTTGATTTCCATCAGACCGTAGTTGTCCACTGTGGGGTTACCGGTGATGATGCCGATGACCGACGAGGTCACCTTCTTCCATGTGTAAAGTTCTTCTCCGCCGGTGGAAGGTCGCAGCTTCAGGAACCATGTGCCCAGTAGGTTAATGTCGAAGGATTTGCCGTAGAACTTGGACTTGAGGGAGGATTCACCCTGAATACGTAGTTTTGCTTAGCCCTGTGGACAGACATTGGGTTACGAAATCGGATGTACTTACCCAGTAGTCCCATTTGGGCGACTCGGCCCACGCAGCTCCAATCGGTGGGTGGTGGCTGACTTGCTCCACAAAGAATCGATAGCCCTTGTCCGGACGCACATACTCGAAGGTTTCACCTAGAAGAGGGTTGAAGGGCTTTGCGACACGGCCAATGGTCGAGGCATATTCACTTGCAGCGTACGAGGCGACGTATACCAGGCGTTCCATTGAATCGGTCCGACCGGCAGCGATATCAAGGAGGTCAGTATATTCAAGATCCTCAGCTACTCGCTGAAGCAGTGAAGTTGGTTCGTTGAAGGATACCGGGAGTGTCATCTTCGTCATGTCCTTTCCAATCATAGATTTCAGGATGCTCTAAACAGTAGTTAGTACTGCCGAATAAAGGAAGAAGGAAACACCACAGCTTACCCATAAGGAGATCTTTGGCCGATCATCAGCATCCATCTTAAGTCGCTCTCTAATGGGATCCTCATAGCCCTTGAAGGAGGGTGCAATGATAGTACTCTTCACAGCCCGAAGCTCAGCACTCTCATCTTTAGGTTGTTCTATATTGTCCTTCTCGGCATTCAAGTCCTCCACCTCGATTTCACCAGCATCAATAGCATCGAAGAATTCTTCTCCGTCCGACTCTGAACCACAGAGACTACTGAGCTTGGAGTAGGTCGATGGGTTGCGACTGAGTGCGGGTATCGTGGATAGTTTCTGTGCAGGCTGAGCTCCCTCATTTATCGCCTCGGTGACGCCAGCTTCAGTTTGGCTGTCCTCAAGATTCTGGTTGTCTGTTGTCAAATGGGGAGTCCCACCGGCGATAGAACGGCTACTGCCTGTTGCGCTCTCCAGGGCTTCCTTCAGAGCTCGCTTGGTCCGCTTCCGCTTCTCTTCAGACTCGCCCATCTTGGATTGCAGCTCCTCATGCTCGCGGGCCACACGTGCCATGCTTTCTTCCCACATCTGACGAATGGCCTCCTCTCTACTGAGACGAGACTGCCAATAAGAGTCTCGGTCCCGTGAGATCTTGAGCAGATTCTGCACTAGACCCTTGAGGCTGCTGACTGCAGCTTCATAGGCACCAAGGGCCTGTTCCAGGGCTGGATCCGCGATGGTCATTTCCGGATTTTTGGATTTCTCGGCCTGTAGCGAGGCAGCCACATTTGCAAGAAGATCCAACTGAAGCTTCGCAGATTGTGCGGTGATATTGAGAGCATCCTTATCAGCGGCTGGCATCTCATTCTCGTGGCTTGAACCATAGTCGATGAATTCTTCATCCTCGCCCTCTCCATCTGGCGCAGATGTGACATGGCTGATTACTCTATTCATGTCGTTTGGTGCAAGGACCTGGTCATAAGAACCACCATAGGCGGAGCTATCCTCGTCTCCGGGGGGATATCCAGGGTGGTGCGGGATGCATAAGTACTGAGCCTTGTACCAGTGCTGCTACCACCGCCCAAAGATGGAGGAGCGAGACCCCTTGTGCTGGGCTTGTGAGAAAGGCCAGACTCCGATGGTGCATCCGTAGGGCGTCCTTCTGTCTGATCGATCTTAGCCTGGCGAAGCACCTCCGCATTCTTCGACCGCTGACGCTCCTCCTCCTTCGCCTCATCCTTAGCCCACTGGATAGCATTGTTGAGAGACCAGAACCAGCGTTTTGCCTCTACAACATGGTTGGCCTTGAGGTGGTATTTGACCGATGACTTCCCGTGAATTTCAAAGCGCGTCTTGTCCTGCGCATCCATGTTAAGTCTAGCAATCTTCATGTTGATCGCACCGCGACAGGCAGAGCCTGCATCATCTATAGAGCTTGTTAGAAGGGGTTGGTGGCACGAGGAGCGATGACAAGACTGAAGATAACACTTGAACTTACCCTGATGCTTATAATAACTCAAGACTCCATCCTCCAGAACGAACCAGCGCAACTTGTACCCCGTTGTGTAATTCGTCCATTTCTTGAGATAGCCTCTCATCTCGCGGGCGTCCTTACCTGCAAGCGGTGCATCGCCAACCGAAACGCGACCGGCAAGGCCTTGGGCATTACTATTTCCGAGAATAGCCCTTTCCTGGATACCGCGCTGAGCAATAACAGCAGCGGGTGATCTCTTCAAGAGAGCGCGGGTTTTATCATCTTTGGTAACATCCTGCGGTAGCTTCCCCTTCTTATCACGACGGAAAGGATCCGCGCCATGTGTCAGAAGGATTTCGATGAGCTGCGCATCTTTATTTCTAGCACCCTCGTGCAGAAGCGTGCCACCGGAATGGGCTGTCGTCAGGTCGGTAACCAGATCGTAGCTGTTCACATCCATGATACCCTCCACTCGAGGTTCCTCGAGTAAAGCTTCCAAGCCCTTATAATCAGATTTTCCAATCAAAGCCTGGATTTCCTGGTTCTTGCTATCAATGAAGAGAGACCGCGCAAGTTGCAGTTGCTGGAAGATTTCAGGGGTACGGGCCAAATCGAGAGCCGTCTGACCCCGATAGTTGACAATAGAATCGTTGATAGATGGACGGTTCAACAATTCGCGAACGAGCGGGGCCCGGCCCAGTTGGGCGGCAATGTGAAGTGGCGTGTTTCCATCCCGATCTCGCGAGTTGATATCCAGGTCCTCCGCGGTGGACAGCACATATTCCACGACTTGGGGTTCGGCACACTGCAGAGCCAAATGGAGGACGGTCGTGCCGTTGAGAGCACTCACGCCCTGCGGGTCGGTAGTATCCTTAATGGCCTTGGAGATGGCGGTGGTATCACCGCTGCGCAAGATCTCGAAGAGACGAAAGGTGCGAACGGACTGCTCGAGTGACATGCTGCCGGCCTCCATTTGGTTCAAGGAAGGCAAGTCTTCCACTGGGTCCATGTCCTCGGCGGATTCTTGAATGGCCGGTGGCGGACTCAAGTCTTGGCCTTGTTTGCGACGGCTGTGGCGGCTGCTGCTGCGGGTGTGTTTCAACGAGCTGGGGCTTGAGGAGGCGGAGGCGACCGAGTTGGTGTCTCCGCTATCATCGGGGTCTTTGTCTTCGCCCCTGGACTTGTCACGATGGAGGAGGGCAAGTGCTATTGAGCTTCGAGAGCGCCTGTGTTTGTGCCTGAAAAACAGTGGAATATCAGTATAAAGTACGTACACCGTGTACTCCGTTCACATGTGACTACTTCGAAGGTCACAGGCTCAGAATAAATAGACCAAGGCAGTTAAGCCAAGGTATTCCCCGGGCCCCGGAGTCTCACAACTGTCATGATGCATGATGAACCATGGATCGAGAGTTTCCTAGTACCAAACTTCAAAGTTGGAAAACAAAGACTTACCCTTCGGGTTTATCAGACATCCTTGCACACTGGACTATATCCAATAGTGTCGTCTGAGGTTGAGGACTTTGGAATGAAATTCGGGGGGGGTTCTCGGGCCCTTGTTTGGGGGGCAAATGATGTTGATTTCCGCCTTGGCATGAGGGTACACTACAAAGGTAGGAACCTCTCGAGTCATCTTTTTTTTTTCAGGTCGATGTTACAATATGGTGAACTGAGGACGGTAGTATTCATTGTACAGGTATTTATACAAAGCAAGCCCATATCGGCTATACAGGCCATAGATCATTGAGACCATCTATATCTATCATACAGTATACCTAACCTTGGAATATACAGAAGCTCGTAGCTTATCGAGTCTCCCCACTAACCAAGATCACAACGCTACCCAATTGTCGCTTCAAGTCTTCCTTGCCAACATCGTGAGTATCCTCTACCTCACCCCACATATCAGTCTGCCAGGTCACCTCCAGACTCGACGCCTCAGCCGCCTCCTCAATGCCGAACTTTTTCGTCTCGGGTCGTTGAATATGGCGGAAGTTCTCACTCCATTCCACCACCAGGCGGACCGCGATGAGAAGACTCTTGGAAGCAAGGATTGCCCGCTCAAGGCCAGCCAGGTCATGTGCAGACAGTTCGGAAACCCAGGTGCGGATACTGTCTTTCGTACCCTTCGGCTGGGAGAGGGGGATGATGCTGTTGGCGTCGAGGATAGGAATGATTTCAAGGCCAGGCCAGACCTTGGTGGACAAAAAGCTCATGACGTTCCCCGCGATTCTCATTTGAATCTGGCGAAGAGACTCGATGGGCTTTCCGTCGTCCGTTGTCCGTTCCAACGCGTGCCGTTGTCGCTCGGGCTCCCAGCAAAGTAGTGTATCAGTATCTAGGTAACGCATGGCAGTGGTGATAATCTGTTTTCTAGTGATGCTGTTGCCCTCGGCATCTTCGCGGGCGATATCGGTGGCGCGGGCTGCGAGGGAGGTCATGGGGATAAGGTGGCTTCTGAGAGCCTGCTGGGCAGAGGTCATCACATCCCACTCCAGTGCAACAGCGTGGGCAAGGTGAGGCTTTGTGGAAGGGATAGATAAAACTTCTTTCGCCGGGGTTCTAACGGGTCGCTTATCAAGCAGGACTTGATATTCGTCTGTAGAAGTGAATATGTTAGCTGAAGAGTTATCACCAGACGAGATCACTGAGAAAGACAGCCAATGCCCATTTCGCTCATACCTGACTTTCCATGCACATGGACATCCTTCCAAAACCGCTTCTTCAGCGCAGCGGTGAGCTTGTATCGCGATGCTTCGCCCTCGGAAGCTGGGAGCTCTGCATCGCTGGATTGTGAAATGTCCTTGAATTCTGATGACGGGGTAGCCGGAGCTTTAGGAGGAGGGCCGTGTGCCGTCACTGGGTGTGCCACGGCTGATCTGAAGGGAGACGAGTGGATGCGCCGACATAACGAAACAGGATGACGGGCAGCGGCGAATAGCTGCGAGGGAAGCGCAGCGCGAGCAAAAGCGACCATCTCTTAAAAGAAGGGCCCTTGGCAATTGATTATATTAGAGAAAGAAAGGGTTGAAGGACGATTATTGGTTCCTGGATCCAAAGGAGTTGGGAACTCGAACATTTTGGCCCGGGAAGTCTTGGCTTGCCGCGCCACATCTTAATCCCAAAGGGGATCTGTACATATAAGTACTACTTAACTAGTTAACCAGTTAACTGGTTTAACTACCTGACTAGGTATCAAAGTACAATCTACATAGATTGTCTCGCTCATATACATAAGAAATGACAATTATCTGCTCATTTTGACACTATTTTCTTACCACACCCACACCTCTTTGGACTGGTTCTAGACCAAATCATCTGCATGGCTCATCTGCATGGCATCAGAATTGGAAACTATGACATGCCTTCCCTCCGAAGTAGCTTTACAAGATAGGGCTCTATTCTCGATATACATCCCTAGTCAAATAATATGCGTATATTCCAATCAATTAGAAATTATCTGCAGTTTGAGAAAGCAACGAGAAAAAGACTAAAAGTTCAGAATACCACCTCGCATCTAAGAAAAAGGACCAAAAAAAAAAGCTCTCACAGAAAACTCAGGGGAATCAAAGCTGAACAGCAAAATGAGACGCAAAGAGTCAAGCACAGAACAATCGCAAAACGACCTCCGCCCATGCTTTTGTAATTTACAAGAAGAGAAGGGGAAAAAGCCTCGATGATATCGAGACCACCATTTTGTTTTTGATAACCAGGCAATGTGCAGAGAAAAGAAAAACAATGGGCAGAAGTAAAGAAGCCAACCATAAAGTGATATATCACTGGTATCACTCATTGGTTAGAGGACTGATATTGGAGAGGAAGAGCGTTGCCACTTTGAAGCTCGTATCACACTCTCGGTAACTTGGCGACACAGGCCAAATAGACTGGGCAGAAGGTTTGGCGGGGAAGGATAAAGGTCAGGGCGGATCTAGAATCAAAGCAGAGCATATGGGTGTCGTCACGGCGTTTCGTCATGATATAAAGGGCCAAGTCAATGGGCTAGAAGTTCTCCCCTGTTCCCAGTACAACCAATGAGATATGGTAGACTATATCGAGGGGAAAGGGAACAGGGAATGGTTCTTCGGTAGGAGAATCGAAGAACTCATTTAATGAGATATTGCGGATAATACGGTTGCTTCATTCGATCGGCATCCGTCCGCTTCTTCATACGCTCAGCGTCATAATCATCGGCACCATCACGGCTACCCCATGTTGTCTGTAAAAAAAAACTCAAAGTCAGTCCAGGTCTGTATGTAAAAAGTATGCGAATCAAATCAGAAAGGCAGATGCGCGATCTACGGGGAAATAGGAGAATAGTGGGTAAACGGAGCAAGCGAGATGATCAAAGCGTTGTGATGCAGAGTTGTCATAGGAGGAAGGTTGCGCTTGGATACACTCGTATGCAGATAAGGAAAAAATAGGGAAAAAATAGGAAAAAAAACCAAAAATAGGGGGGAAAGTGAAAGATAAAAGGAGAATTAAAAAGAATTAAACATACCACATTCAATGTCATCACGGCATACATCTTAATCGCACCGTGTAAATAACCGAAGATGATGGAGACTGGTAGTAAGAACACATCGACGGGATAGCGAAGATAATGACCCAACAGCTTAATCCACTTGCTAGTGAAGATCCAGAGGTAGAGCATAGTCATAGATTGATCGTGGAATGACTCTCCCCACGATCCAGTCGCCTTGTGGCACAACCAGACCAGTAAAATGTCGCCTAAAAAGGCAGGCGGCGACAAAGTGGTCAGGTGAACGGCATAGGCACTCCAGGGTTGACGACTATAGAAAATGTTAGCTCTGTTCTGCAGGCGAAAAGTGATTTCTTTGTTTCTCCAAGGTCACACCACAGCCTTACACCTAGACTCGGAAAAGGTCTCTTTTTGATCCGATCAAAGAGAAAGGAGAGAAAAATACAAGACCGAGATGGAGGGAAAGGAAAGGTAAAAGAGAAGAAAGAGAAGGTAAGACAACTCCAAAAGGGAAAAAAAAAGTTGCACTCACTGCCAAATGTGCTTCTCGTGAAACATCGAGGTCAGATTGCTCCGCCAATTACTTCTGGACCAGCGGGCGCATTGCTTCAAGAAACGAGGGTTGTCCTCGAGAGTTGTCAGCACCTCCGCCTCTGGGTGGTACTGCATATAAGTTTCCCATCCGTGCGAGACCATCCAACGGGTGATAAAGTTATCATCGTCGGCGTTGAGTTGATACTTGCCCCACCACCACTCTTCATTGGTGAAAGCGTAGGTGAAGGCCTCATTCTGCAGAATTCGCGTCCGATACGCCACCGTTCGTCCCGACATGCAGGGAAGTCCACCGTCCACATGGGTAGTTGCGCCGCAGTCGAAGTTGCGTCGTTCCAGGTACAAGGCACCCAAGAAGCCCCAGAGGCGTTGTGAGAGGCTCGGCGCAATGGCCCGGCGCAATCGCTGGCAGGTCACCACACCACCATATTTCTCATCCTTTTCGAAGGGGGCTAGAATCCAAGGGAGCAAGGTACGTGGCCAGCTCACGTCGTCATCGGCGAGAAGAGTAATGGCGGTTCGGACCTCGGGAATGGCTTCGGTCATTTGACGGCGCTTGTTGGGGTGCTTGACAGTGAACAAACGGATGCGAGATTTCGATGCTGGCATGGCGCTCAGCATGCGCTCAGCCTTGGTGCGATTGGCTTCGATTGTCACCAAGAGCAATTCGAAGGGTTGATTGTCGAGAATTGTCCGGATCGTCTCCACCAGCTCATCGCCACAGCCCTCCAACGATGGAATGATCACCGTCACATCTTGCGATGTCAGTTTGGGATTCTCCGGTGGTGGGATTGGCTTGAATGACCAAAAGGAGAACAAGTTGAACACGAGCCGGGTATAACGATAGAGACTGGTTCCTGGTTAGCTATGTGGTAGTGGTCGGATTGAGCTCCCAGGCCTATACTCACAAGAGTGTGACGAATGCTCGCATAAATGGGAATGCCATGGTGTGAAACTCGACTGTCCCCACGTAACCCTAACTATTTTCTTTGGGGCAGATTCTCTTTTAGAGATGTAGAGGTATACAACATTCAAATGTGCTGTAGCTATTGACCAAGTCTGGTAGTCAATTGCCTCTGTCGGCTTCGTCAATCCAAGTCTTTAACGAATGTCAAGGAGACAATGCTTCCTTCAATTCCAAAGGAAAATAGAGAGGAAAAGGGAAAAGAAAAAAAAGGAAGATGAGTACTTTGATTGAGGGAGGGAGAGATTAAAGTAGGAAGAAAGGCAGCACATGCGAACTAAACAAAATAAATAGGATACTCTTGAATATAATATTTTAATATTTTAATATAAAATGATTAAAATGATTTAAATGATTTTTAAAAAAATAGTCCATAATAGTCAAATAGTGGTAAAATAATCGTAAAAATCCCTAAAATCACTAAAAACCAAAAGCCGAACTAAAAAAGCTATGCCCCAGTCTTGGTTGTCGTTTTGAGTGTGCTGCAGGTAGGTTTTGCCTCGTGCGTCAGAGACCCTGGATCTAGAGGCCGTCCATGAGTGGGGGATATTGGCGGCCCATGCAGAGTATTCATTTTACATATCTTACATACCGAGATATATTTATATTTATATACATAATATACATCTATAGATGTATATCTGAATGTACATACTTTATATCATGTGGACAAATATATATCAAATTCAAGGTTTCAAAAGGAAAATTACAAAGTTCAGCTTGCTCATGCTCAACATGTTCACCCTGTGGGGAACATATGCATGTACCTTTCTTGTTTTTTTTTTTTTTTGTTCGTCTTTTTACTTTTTTAATTTATACTAACTCGTTTAGTGATTTTAGTGATTTAGTGATTTAGTGATTTTACAGTAAAAAATAAGATCGTGGATAGGCAACGGTTTGGGTTGGATGCATAAGGGATACCTGATAGTTTGGTTCTTTCTAAGCAATGCAACCCTACGAAAGGTACTTTGTTCCCAGGTACCATAGAAATAATATGTATTATTATTATTTATATATCGGCAAAAAGGCAACACAACAATTCAAAATGGAGAACATATCCGATCATGCACGACTACACTCTTTGCCTCGGAACTCCAATGACTTGCCATTGGTGCTCAGGCAACCGGAACTCATGGCCACAGATCTGAGATATCTCTATTTATATATGCGCTCAGAATTTACGGAGTACGTTGGACCATATTCTCTAGCTTTGATAAAACGGTGATTTGTGGAACAATTGCGACTTTCTGACAATAACACACCATTCTAATTAGCGTGGTCCGCAGCAAAATGGAGTCCAGAGAAGATCCGCCAAAAGTACCCGGGCTAATAAGGCGTTCTATTTTTTTACCTCATTTCTTTTTTTTTCTGTACAGAGTAAGATTAAGCAGATTAAAACTAGCGTGCATATTGGTCGGAGCAAAGTGCCTAGGTGTAACTTGGAGTCGAATGCTTATTACATGTAGTACTACTACCTAACTCATAGTAGTACTAATAGTAGTACTATAGTCGTCCGTACTAGTCGTCCAAATGTTAAAAAAAGGTCAAGTGAAAAACAAAAAAATGCAAAAAACAAAAATACGGGTAACGGGTAATCCTGGTGGCGATCGCTAAAGGTGCCCGTGTAACAGCCTGTTCCTCTTCACAGTGGGGCAATACCCGGTATGCCCAGATTGGATTTTTATATAGGAATATTACTAAGAGTTTATAAAGATATGAGAAAATGGGGAAATTGAAGGCAATGGCCATGAGGGAAACGTATGAAAACGTGTCAAAAGGGCAAAAAAGGAAGGGAAAAAAAGAGCATGCCGACAGATCGCCTGATTGCGCGTTTAATGCCGAAGGGCAACCAGCTGCCTCGGTGGCGTGAAGGTAAATATCCCGGTCACGAGTATACTGGAATGTGAATGAAAGTGGAAGTGGAAGCGAACCTGGACCGTGCTTACAGTAGTATAATATAGTTAGTAGGATATAACTCATATTGGCATAAGAATTTAGTATCGAATATCGAATATCTAATATCCCTCACTAGGTATGTTGTGTATATACTATGCTATATCATTACCCTATTTTATACCTCCTACCCTATTTACTCTACTCCGTAGTTAGTTATACCACGTAGCATGTAGCATATGCTCAATCCAGACACATCCCCTTATGAAACCAGGATCATGATTGGTACCATCCTCACGAACCCGGTCATCTCCTTCCTTTCAGAGGTAACAACCGCTGACTTCGCGCCAGTGTGTCGCTTTGGCGTCTAACGGTGTTCCAGCCTTAGCGGAATGGGGGCACGGCCGGAGAGGATGGGATTAATGCATCTGCAAAAGGCCTAATATGGATATATCGTTGGTCGTGATCGTCCAAACTCGCAATCTGGTACTTTTGAGATCAATGGCTAGGACCTCTTCTCTTTTCATCGGGTTCTACAAGTGGTAATCCAACGTGTTTTTTTTTTTCCCTCTCTTTTCTATTTTCTTATCTGCAACAGTTCCATCTGGGTTCTCTGCATATGCAGATTCCGTACCTTGTATATTTAGCGTGCTGTGCTCTACTTTCTCCCGGCCGAGCCGATGAGGACTCTTTTTGAAAAGTACAAAATAGCCACGGTCTCCGACCGTGCCCAGATCACGTCTTGAGTGAAACAGACGCGTATCTCGGCTGCACGGACTCCCCGTAATGTATTGAACCCGCTTCAACTCCACCGGCAGCCGGGAATGGCCGGATTTTCTACTACACTTTTCAATATGATTTGTGAAAGGGGAGAAAGAGGGAGGGGGGGTTGTGGATTTCCGTGGGTTTACGCATAGACCCGAAGTCAGTCCGGGATATCAAATAAATGAGGTGGGGGCTAAACGGGATCCTCGACTGTCACGGGAAAAAGGGGCGATGACATGCAGTCGATCAGACCTTTTTTGCCTTTTTTTTGCCCTTTTTCCCTTCGGCCATACCCATTTTGAGATGATATTCTGTTACCCCATTCAGCTTTAGCTCAACTCTTCTATCGTACCTTAGGTGCCTAGTATTATTCAGAAATTTAGATCGGCTGTGGGGGGAGGGGGCAGGATTCGTAACTTTCTCAGTGGATCGAACAAAGATACTACTCCGTACATAAACCCATTGTGATATCCTGATTTTACCCCTCAGTTAGGAGAGAAAAAAATAAGTCCACATTGAAAACCCACATCACATCATACAATGTCTGAAAATCCGAAAATACCTAGGGAGTAGGTATACCTTGGTAAAGTATACTCCGTATATGGCAACGTAATAGCTGTAGGAGCTAGGACGATCGAGCTGTAGTTCCCGTGTAAATAGGATGATCTTGGCCGGGGTATCACTCTCTGATTCAAAAGTGGAAACATCCGTGCCATTCTAGCCGCTCTCTGGTGGGTTAGCTGCAGCAAATATGCCCTGGGCTTTTTGGTGGCTGGTCTCGGGATTATCGCCGACTTTGATTCTCCACTTGGTATTGAAAATACTGGTATTTTTTTCTTTTTTGAACGGTAAATTGTGTTTAGGAGAACACACGGCCGGCTTCTCCGTTTTAAAGCTACATACTCCGTACATTCATGGATATATATACGATATATATTCGATATCTGGATGGACACATGCAATTATATTGGTTAACCCTATCTCCTATAGCACTTTGACTTTGATGGCTTTGGTCATGAATTCTGAACTCTCGGTCCGACACTGCGGCTCTGGTGTAATTGCATCTTATAGACTCGTGGGCAGATCAGACGCATGTTCGTAAACGAACATGGCGAGCACCGAGCGCACGCTTATCTCCGTATTGCTGACAGTGCGCGTTACTCTTTCCTACTTTGTAGGTATTGACTACCGAGGTGAAGTCTAGCTACATGTAGTATATTCAATATATTATATAACTATTTAGTATGTTGTATACATTGTGTATATTTAGCATTGTGTATATTTAGTACATTTATTGATATGAGCCTCACTTGTACTCTCCTCTTTCATTTCTCTCTGGTCTCTCTTGTCTTTCCTTAGTTCCACCATTGTCATATATACATATATAACAGCTGTATCAATATCAAACCCTAGGATGTGAACCAAGAACTCTCCGAACTCGTCCCCCCCCTGCAAAAGGACAAAGATCGTAATCCCCTCGGCGCATCCTGACGTCAACTAAAACGATTTCCTGCCGTTCATGCAGCTGGGATAGACCGGGGATACGGAACAGCGGCAGAGACGCACCTGCTCATCAGGCATAGGACCGTGGTAGCGGAACTGCACCTCGTGCATCCCCCCGGCCACTAATGCGCTGCAGTTACCAGGAAGACCGTGGCCGAGAATAAAGGGAAATTAAAAATAAAAATACCGTTCTAGAACACACGTGCAGAAGCTCATTTACGCTATGCAGGGTACGTCTCCTCGGCGTTAGCCGTTGAAATAGGCCGTGCAAATTAGTCCACGGACATGGAGACGTTAGCCGTTTTGTTGACTTTTGATACATAGTATGTATTTCTAACCTGAGCCCATATTAAAGCTATTTTGGACTGTGTGATCAAGGCATAGCTAAACGGGGCATATCAAAGCATAAATCCATGAGCCATAAAAATGCGAGAAAAAAGAAAGAGTAAAAGGTTCAGCCCTATGACCTGGCCCTGGACCTGGATCTGGACCTGGACCTGGACCTCCTTACTTGGCAGATATCACACGTTCATTCCGGCTTCCATAGCCAGCCTGCAGGGTCAAAACAAGACTCGAAATCGACGCCACCGAACAACCCAATCGCCCCATAGAGGTCATAGTCCCCTTCCAAGCCTTCAACACCTCCAGAATCCGCATCGACCTCCTCATGCAGATCCCAACCCCCAGATCGGCATCCATTCCGCGTGAAGAAGATATGCACCTTGCATCTCTTGCTCTTCTCGTCTCCACTGTAGATATTCTCCGGCAGCTCAAACTCCATCCCCAACCCAACCGTCTCACCTACCTTAAACGCCGTAGTAAAATCCCGACCCCCAAATGAATCATTCACAAATCGACATCCATCATCCGAGAACACTCCCAACCCACCTCTCTCCCAACCAGGTGATCTCCATGACGGATAAGGCTGGGCAGCAAACCCAATGGAAAGCCCACTACAATCCTGGGGTGTCGGTCCCGCCCTCAGGGCTAATAATTTCACCTCAAAGTAGATGGTTTTCTTCTGCTCACGCACAAACGGCGAGTCCGCAGCCGGGAAGTACATGGGCAACTGGGTAAGAATGACACAATCCGCATTCCCATCAGCACTGTGTCCACACCAGCGACCACGTGCAACGGCCGAGACATGACCACGCAGCTCGGCTGGCTGCACGGGTCGAAGGTCGTAAGTCTGCACGTCATGATAGACTGCAGTTGAGGGCTGAGCTGGGAGCCAGAGGGGCACGGAGTCACAGAAATCATGGGCGCGCTGGGCGTCGTCTTCCGAGGCGTTCCCCGTGCCTGAAATTAGATAGCCGGTGATTGGGGGTGGTGGAAATGTGGCTGTGTCTGGGACTGCTTCTTGCCAGTTGTGATATGGAGGTGGATGGCCTGAGGCTGCAGTCTGTGGCTGGGTACCGGAGATCCCCCAGGATTGTTGTGATGCATCATAACTTGGCGGTAAGTCGTGGGGTTGGGACATTGTGTAGCTTTTCTTTGGTGTTACCGGGTAACAGTTTTTTTAAGGCTGGTGGTGCAGAGTCGGGGAGATGTAAAAGGTGAGATTTTGATTTTGATGCCAAGCGGAGGGGTGTGACTCCTTGACTTTGGGCTTCGTATTGGATTCTCTCATTCTGACAGTTTCACCTTTTCAAGAGTTTGGAATTGGACCGATTTCGTTTCTTTGGATTTGAGTGTTGGTTTTGGATTTGAATTCTCTTTTTAATTTACACACCTAGGTATACATAGTATAGAAGATTATATGTAGATATATATATCTAACCATCTAACCATCTATAAATCGACAGATCAGAAAAAAAAAAAAACAAGAAAAGCACTAAGAATAGCCATAGCCAATAGCCCCCAGGTGGGTTTCAGCTGCAGCCAATGCACATTCGGAATTTCTTCGATTCTCGACTGTGACTGCTTTTTATCTTTTCCTTTCCATTTTCTTTCTTTTTCTTCTTTTTCTTCGTGTTTTCCTTTGGCCGTGGGCCTTTGTCCCTCGTTTTTGTTTCTCTGCTTGACTTGCGACTTGCGACTTGCGACTTGCGACTTGCGACTTACGACTCACTCACGTCCCACGTCTCACGTCTCACGATTCATGATTCCTTGATCCCCGGGCTATTTCCTAGTCCAATGTCACTCGCTTCTTTTCAGATCAGACATTCGCTCAACCAGTTCAACGCCAATGGAGGCCTCCACAAATCCGCCCCGCAGGGCCCGTCGATCATCCATCTCGGACCACATCCACCGCGTCTTTAGCAAATCCAAGGATGTAAGTGAACCACAGTAAAAAAAAAGTGGAGGAACTTCATTTGACCCCTTGAAGAAACGCCACAGTCAAAATGGTGAATTTGTTCCCCCGGTTCCGTTTCAAGCCCGCGAAGCTCTCGCACATGAGGCAGCAACCGACGATAATTCTCATACGAGACACTCTCTGTACGATGAGACAGGGCCCAGCTCGCTCTCTTACTCCACCAACTCTCGCTTGCCCTCCACCGGTACACCTGGCTCAAGTCTATCAGTCGCAAACGGGGCCCCTGTAGAGGATGAGACTCCGACCCAACAAATGACGCCCTTGCCTAACCATCCCAGCGCAGATGTAGACAATATCTGCAAATCGCCAACCTGGGAAAAACCTAAAAAGAAAGAAAAGCGAGTCACAAAGCGCCTGGAAGCCGAGAGAAAGGAATTTGAGAAGCGCTTGCTAGCACTGGAGGATGCCCAATCCAAGGCCGACCCCGGAGTCTATGGAAGATCCTCTCGCCGCTTGACCAAGAAACAACCCGTGAGCAACTCAAGCCGAAGCTCCAGTGCAAATTCAGAACGTCCGAGATCGTCAAGTGGCCTGTCCTCGATTTTCCGGCGTTCACGCCGGAATTCAAATTCGAGTGAGCAAGATTCTCCGTCTGCCGAGTCTAGCCAGCTGAGGACTGATACGAACCCACCATCTCTGCCTTTGACTCTACCGGAAAGGTTTGGAACGGCCATCACCCGGGAGCTACAGTCCACGCATGGCACCGCACTAAACCTATCCGCTTCGCACAAAATCTCCAACCCAACCCAGAATAACCGGTTGCACGCCTCGGCAAAGTCTGATGATCTCCGTGAGAACTGGAGAATGGCTGAAGCCTGGAAGACAAAGGATGGACGTGAAACCAATCGGTCAGTGTCAGAGCAGATTCCCAGCCGTACTCGGTCCATGATTGGAAAAGGTACTCGAAACGGCAAGACACTAGCATCGGGCGATCTGGACAGGAAGTTGTTTTCTGCAGCTCTGAAGCATGACCGGAAGAGTGTGCCCGCGGCAGGTAATCCCCTTGATCGTGCGACTCGCAATGACCGTTCTGGCAGGGCTTCTAGCATGCCGATGTCGCAAAGCATGAGCCAGCCCAACTTCTATTCATCCGGTCATCCTGATTCGCCTGCTCAAGTTATCACGGCTCGTCAGTTGCAGGAGTTAACACCTCCAGAAACTCCCGACAATCCGCCGAGTCCATCCAGTGCCAGGCCGTATCCACCACCACTCAGCCCAGCACTAATACTTGCTAGGAAGAGTCGAGTGGATCCCTTCCCGCGAGCATACAAGTCGTCTCCCCTCGCGCTGAATCCTGCAAATACGGCTGAATCGTCCCAAAATGATTCCAGGATTCCAAACCCACCGACAGCACAAAACCTTGATGCAAAGCCACCCCAGTCCATACAATCCCCCGCTCAACCTCATCCCGAGGATCGGGGAAGAAGCCGATTACCTATCGCTTCATCGCATACCCCCAAGCGAACTTCAAGCCGTTTCAAGGAAGACTTCCAAGAAACTCCACAGTCGATTGAACTGCCACAGATCCCAGTCAAGAGCGACAGACGGAGTCTCGAAATTCGGAGAATGCCAACCACGTCAGACGATACCCTAAAAGACATTCCGGCGTCTACTTTCCAGGTAACCGTCAGATCTCCATTGCATACAGGAAGTGTTTCACCTGGCGAGAGAAACAACCAAACGTCTAAAGACCTGTCGGATGATAATTATATTGTTCCTGCGAGATCTCCCCGTCGAGCTTCTCGCACTTCCACCGAACTCCCTGGAAACATTCTTGCTATTGGAGGACCCGGAGGATTCATACCAGGACATAGCCGCAGTCCTTCGTACACCTCCTCTCATGACGGCCATTCAAACTATGATACTGCTGACGAAGATGCACCTGAATCTCCTGAATTCAAACGAAATTCGCTGACTCGCGTGGATACCACTCCCTCGGCCTCTGCTGCTGAAACTTCAGTCGCACAGGAAGCTCCCGTCAGCCCCCTCATTCAAGCCAGTACACAGCCAGGTATCCAATCTGGCATCCAACACGGCACCCAGTCCATCACGCAACCTGACATCCAACCTAGCACCCAACCCAGCACCCAGCCTATCTTACAGCCTATCCAGCAGCCCGCCTCTCTCCCCAATGGTTACCGGGGCATACAACCTGGCATACAACCTGACACTCAGCCCGACTTTCATCCTAGCATGCAGCCCAGCACCCAACTGGGTACCCAATCTGGCAGCCCCCAACCCCGTCCAGGTCCCATGAGCATCCTCAAACGAAGATCCCAAAAAGCGAAAGCAGCCCGCACCCCACAAACCATCGCCAAGATCTTCGTAATCTGCTGTCGCTGCAAGTACTGGCACGACCTACCTTCCGAAGTCTACGCGCGTCTCGCCTGCCCCGAGCGTCTGGGGTCAGATTCCAAGCTGGGTGGATCCCGCTCCAAGAAACAACCCGACAGTGGTACCCACAAGCTGACCGGCTCACGATCGCTGCCATTCGGTCAATTACCAGCTCCCCATGCTACCCAGGGCACGCCCGATCTACGGCCTGCGCCTCTTACTCCCCGGAAGGTGACCTGCTGCTGGTGTGGACATAACATGAGCCGGTCTTGTTGTGAGGGTTGGACCACTGTTGTTGAGATGCGTGAGCGTCACCACTGAGTGCGATGGGCTCCACGACATTGATGACACTTATTGAAAAAAATCTGAAAGCCACCTATGATATGAACGACTATCATGATGTTATGATCTTCTTTTTTCCCCTCTCTTTCTAGTTTCATGTCTTGTGTTTGGGATTTCTGTATCTGCACTCATGTCCTTGATGGTTACGATCTTTGGGCTATCTTACAGACAGTTTCCCATAGAGTAATTGAATCAAATGTATGTGAATTGAAGCATGACTCTAATCAAATCTACGCGTACTCGACTGTAAATGTATTCGGTGACTACCTAGGTGACTAGCTCTACCATTAAAGAGGGAGTGAGTAAACACCCCTAATGTATTCCGTGGGACTTGTAAGTGACTATAATGCCCAAACGCTTAGCCACTTGTCAAAGAACACACACGAGAAAGCCCCGTTTGATTTGGGCGTGGATCTGCATGGGCCTCAACAATGTTGATGTCTCATGCATGGGCACCCGGGTTGCTACGGAACCCTCCCCCTATGCTGTCACATGGAGGTTACGGTGAAAGGGTGGGTGGGAGGTCGAGAGGGAGAGGGCTGGGGGGCGAAGAGAAGAGAGAAGAAGAGGAAGAGGAAGAAAGGTGGGAGGGGGCCTCTTATAGGACCACACCCCAGGTTCCTTCCTTAAATTGACACTCTCCAACACACCTTCCCTCATAGTCCTATATCCCCCATGTCACCCAATTTATACTCTCTTCCTATAGAAAGCAAGCCCCTTCTTCTTCTTCTTCTTCTTCTTCTTCTTCTTCTTCTTCTTCTTCTTCTTCTTCTTCTTCTTCTTCTTCTTCTTCCTCTTCTTCTTCTTCTTCTTCATCCTCTTGTTCATCCTTGTCCCCCCGGGGAATCCTTCCGACTCTTCAAGATGACCAGCAGAAAGAGCCCACGTTCACCACCTTCCTTTCTCACGTTACATGTCTCTCATTAACCAGGCCGTCATTGTCGATATCTTCATGGATTATAGATGTTCGGTGAGGCATTACTAGTAGGACCCAAGGACAGTGGCACCTGTTCCTCAGTATTTTGGCCTTTTTCTCGCTTGATATCTTGTTATATTGTTATATTAATAGCAGTATTACCACAGATGAATCGAATGACTCAGATGTAGATACCATGCCCTTGACTCGTTCAGTTTGTAGACATCACCTCGTTTGCCTATGGAGGCAAAGGTGATATAGGGAAGTTCCAGGAGCCTAGCAGCCCAGAAACGCTTGGTGCAACCTTCTCCTCCAATACCTCTCTATACTGATGGCGATGAAAAGTATTTCCTGGTTATATGGGTAATTTTTACCTTGATTTCCAGGCAAAATGTGGGATGGAATTGTTACAAGGTTCACGCTGGATGCTGATGTTATGTTATGCATTCTTGTATGAAGTTTCAAAGGACATGTCACAATAAAGATTGAAAATTTTCATTTCTTTTTGAGTTCTGTTAGTCAATCCATTCATTGAGAACAGTCGTGAGAACAGTCTTGATAGATAGTATATCCCCCACACCTCAAAGTGGCAGAAAATTGGCGGTAGAGACATGCTGAGTCATCGTTCTTTATTTTTCCCGCCTTTTCTTTTTTTTTTTTTTTTCCAACTTCCTCTGGACACTCTCTGGACACCCAGTGGACATTCAAGCCATCCCTCGGAATTCAATGCTATTCTGATCTATGGTGTCTATCAATCCATAACTATAAACTAACCCAATTACAGATATATATCAACTCCCAGACACGTTCTGTCACCTGCAACTCCTCAATCCAGCTGCCCCAGTCCATTTGGACATGCTCAAGGGCTCTCCTTCTGGAGAACAGTTACCACAGCGCTACGTCTTGTGGCCGTGACCGACTGGAGCTGGATTGCGAGCTGGGTACTCTCGGGTACTCATGCTCACTTTTGAAATACAAAAGTTGCCAGAGCAAGCAAAGGGCCTTCATAGTTCATGTTATACTTGCTCGAGTCTTTCCCTTTGGGAATTTCACTTTGTCTACGAGAGCATGACTCCTTGCGCATCTACATTCATCAGTTTAGATCGAATCGAATCTATTGCTTTCCCACGTATCTATCTTTCTCCCAAAACTACAGCTTGCTCTTCGAGTCACCAACAATATTCACAACAACCTTTCCCCAAGTTTCTCTCCCACCCAATGCCTGCAAAGCCCTGGGCACACTCTCCAACCCAACAAAGCTCTCATCCTTGAACGCTGTTCCCCTGAACTTCCCCTGCTTAACAAGGTCAAAGATTCCTTGCCAAACCTCACCCACAGTCTCCGTCTCAAACTTGGCATACTGCCCCCAATGCAAGCCAACAATACTCACATTCTTCAACAGCACCCGATTCAGCGCAACCTTCTCAATCTTTCCTGCCGCAAACCCAATAACCAACAACCGCGCATTCCACGCCACACACTTCAAACTGGTCTCAATCATCCCAACAGGATCATAAACGATATCCACCCCAGCAGCCCCATTTCCCTTCCTATTCTCCTTGCAAATCCCCTTCACAATCTCCGGCCACGCCTTATTGGTGTAATCAACCACATAATCTGCCCCAAACTCCTTAGCAATCACCCTCTTCCTCTCGGTTCCGGCAGTAGCAATAACAGTCGCTCCCATAGCCTTAGCAATCTGCACAGCAGCAAGTCCGACTCCACCCGCAGCCGCATGGACAAGAACCCAGTCCCTGGCCTTCACGCCAGCTCGCTGCACAAGACCGCCATACGAGGTCGGCGCCGTGACGAATAGGCCCGCGGCATCTTCAAAGCTCCACCCCTCCGGTATGGGGAGGAGGGTTTGCTCTGCGGCTAGGACATGTGTGGCGTAGGCTCCTTGTGTAGCGCCGAAGACACGGTCACCGAGCTTGTAGCGGTTGTTTGGGGAGGTGGGCACGGCGATGATTGTGCCGGCGAATTCAGCGCCACCGATCCAGGGAAGCGGCGGTTGGTTTTGGTATTTGCCTTGGATTTGGAGGATATCGAAGAAGTTTGTGCCGGCTGAGTGGATTTCGATGAGGTATTTGTCCGCTGTTGGGGTTGGGGTTGGGACGGTTGTTACTTTTAGGTCTAGAGGGCCCTATAAGTGGGTGGTTAATTTGGGGTTGGAGTTTGGGATTGGGGGTTGGCTGTAGGTACCTTGACGTATTCGCTGACTTGGACGGCACGCATTTTGATGGTGGTCAGAATGTATATTGGGATTGAGGTGATAAGTTCTGAACTTTTGGAGTGAAGACCTCGGGAGATTGAAGGGGATGTTCAAATAAAAAGAGCTCTGGAAGGGGCGCATGGGGTTTCCCCGCAAGATGCCGAGGTTCCTCTTCGGGTAACTAATTGGGTCTTGGCATTTATAGAACACTTGGTCTATTTGTGTGATATTGATATAAATAGTATACATGGGGTTTGCGTAAGCCTTGAATGGTCTTATATGGTTGGCCTAAGGTTACATTAGAACCGTTGTATGTAAGGACACTCTGATGGGTTCTGCATGTTCTTTCATATTAGATGTATGTGAAGGGTAATATGCATAAACAGTACAGAAGCTTTTTTAGCTTTTTTTTTTATATATAAATGAAGATAGTATACATATGCATAATATAGATGCGTCAATCTTAATTAATCAATAGGTATCAATATATACAGTTTCCTTTTCATCCAAACTCCCCCAAACCAAAACATAATCGGGTATGACAAAACAAACAACCACCCATATTTCACACAAAAAGGTATCGAGGTAACAAGGTATCAATGTATCACAGGTATCACAGGTATTTAACAGAAAGAAGAGCGTCAGTGCAAGTTATAACCTAGTATCCAATGCCCGGAGGCTTCTGCACATAATGGTCATGGCCCATGTAAGGCATGATTGGAGCACACATCACCGAATGAGGCCCACCGGACTGGGTATGCGGCGGCGAGGCCATAGGATGCGAGTGGCCATGAGGCTGGGTATGTGGGAGCATCTGCTTCCTATCATGTTCGGGCCGGGCAGACAGGTGGCCAGCCATATCATACTGCAACGACATAGCACGCTTCCAATTCTTGGCATCATAGGCATGAGGGTACTCTGGTACCTCACCGTAGTGGTGGTGGTACTGGGGATGGTAGAGTTGGGCTTGTGGAAGGTAGCCGTTCATCGACGGCGTCATGGGAGCAGCCGTGGACTGGGGGATGGCTGGGGGAGTGATAGCTTCAAAAGGCAGCGAGTACCACTGAGATGGGTTGAGGCCATAGTCTACTGAAACAGCACGGGGTGTCCAGCCAATGCTGCCGGGGGTCGTTGCCGTGCCTGGGCTTGGGAGGCACGATTCGGGTGAGAGTGGGTAGGCTGGGTAGGATGGAGCCACGGCGGAGGTTGTGTTCAGCATGAGACCTTCACCGATTGGGGAGGTGTGGGAGTGGTCAAAGGATGTGCTTGTTGGACTGAGTTCTGAATAAGAGACGGCTGTTGTGCGGTCTGGAATGAGGATATGTTCGCCGGAGGGGCTTGGGGTGAGTTGTTGGATCATTGGAGAGCTCCATTTCTGGTCCTGGTCTGGGACGGGATGTCCGTAGTTGGGTTGTGTCATGGGCCATTCATGGCGGGTTGGTGTCTCTCTTGTTGGTAATGATGGTAGTGGTCTTTGAATGGTGGATGCTTTGCGGTTCGCATCCTTGTCTGAATCTTGGTCTTCTCCAGATGCTGCAACCAGACTCTTCTTTCGGGTCTGGCGGGATGGCTTGGTCACTCGCCATTTCTTCAGTCTGCTTCGTAGTTGGGTTTCACTGGATGTGTTAGTTGATAGTCCATGATAGAGTCCATAATAGAGTCCGGATATCGGTATCGGACAGGGAATATGAACATGAATGTGTACACACCTAGGATTGAAATCATCGGTACGTATCTGCTTGATAACTTGCTTCAAGGGCCATTCGTCTTCCATATACAACTTGGAAATCAATGCCTTCTTCTTCTCCCATACATCGGATGAGATGGATGTCTTCATTGTTGACGCACAGTCCAGGGGAGAGTGGAAAGGGGGGGGAATAGTTAACGAAGATCGAGGTGATCAACAAAAAACAGACAGGAAACGGGCGAGACGACGATTATTATATGTGAAGAGGAATAAATAATAAAAATATAAAAATATAAAAAAAAATAGAATAAGGTGAGTGGTTTGTTAGGGCCACACCTAACCCATCTCCCATCTCCCATCCACCCAGTTCCCAGTTCCCACTTCTCACCTCTCACCTCCACATCTCCATTGTCTCGGTTCTGTCATTATGGAACCCTACAGCACACAATCTATCCATTGGGGATCCATTGGGTCTTAGCGTCCGTGGCGTCCAGCACGCGGGCGATCATCAACGAGATTCGCAAAGCAAACTCCATTGGTTATAGATCTCGACGATCAGGGCGATGTCATTACTCCAAGTGGAGCACATCACCCAAGCGGAACAGCTCACCTACTAGGTCTTACTATCCCCAGTTGAGTGCTTGGCGCGTTGGAACAAAGCGGATATGGGAATTCGATTGATCATCTCCCTCTCTACGGTGTACGGGCTTTGAATGTTTCTTTTCTTTTCTTTCATTCACGAGGTGACCTATCGAGATGATATTCAGATCCATGTGTTAGGTCCATTTACCCGATTAAGTCCGACGAGAATGGGTGAAATCCCAGCAGAACGGTCCGTACGAAGACAACACGGCCTATAGTTCCCCAGGAGTGATTTACTGTGCATTGGGACCCGGTTCAAGGCCCCAGTTTTATCCCAATACGGTCATACTCCAACCCAGATAAGCCCTCCTCTCACCCGCGGATGGCGTCTTAGGCCTTATGGTCGCCGATCACCGCCACCTCGGGATCCTCTCAAATGGACGGTACTGACGGTTCCGACGGTTCTGCACCGGACGTCTATCCAAAAGCAGAGGCCGTTGACTCCAAACCCTTTCTGTCCACTGGAGATAACCATGTGCTACAAATTCAATTCCGAGAAAAGCAGAATCATGTGGTGAAATC